ATGTCAATATTCCATGGGTATATAAATAAGGTCTAAATTATAAGAAAATGAATTTTCTACGAAAACTTGAAGAGATAGGTAAAAAATAGCATAATAGAATTTGATAGACAATTAAATTGTGCATCTGATTCACGTAAAATATACAGGGTATTTTATTTAAATTAAACAAGTTCTTGTCGTTTAAAGCTAGTAATTATTTAATATAAATTTTTGGACAATCTGTATAAGATAGTATACTTTTTATTATTACAACACGATATCTGATCAATAAATATTTAGTATTAATAACTTTTTATACCCTTGGAGATATGAAGCCTTATTAAATTTTTTACTGCAATTTCACAAAATTGGAAATATTTCAAAAACGGTAAGGTTTAAGTGTGATAAATCTTAATCAAATTTACCTTGATTTCAATCATAGAATCTAAAAATAGAATAATATAGAGGTTGTTTTAAAACACTATTTAAAAAAAATACAAAACTATACTATTTTTTAGCGATTCAAATGAAATTTTGAGTGTAAAAGTGACTATGAGTGCTTCATATTTTAGTGCTAAAAAAGTGTCGATAAATTCATCAGGATCGTGCATATGGGTTATCAGTGGAATATTTTTCAAAAAAATGTGCACCACTGACTTTATTTATTTTGATCTAAAAAAAAACAATTAATAAAATAAAAATAAAATTAATAAATTATATATTTTACCTAATTTATTATTAAATATTATTACTATTATTTATTATTAGCATTAGTCCAACTTACAGCAATTTCAAATAAAAATATAATGTTATTTAAGATAATTACAAAAAACCTAATTTTAAAAATTTTTAACATCCTGTAACTCTAGAACTATGCATTTCCATACCCATGTTTACAGGAACTCTTTTTTCATATTTTTAATGAGAAATCAATGAGTACTTATTTAAAACTTTTGCAAGTTAATGAAATTCAAATTTTTAAAGGTTGCTATTAGACTTGGATCAAGGCAAATTAATAAAATTGCATCTATCTCATCAAGGAGGTCGAAATCGACAAAATATCAAGATACAATTTTTAATCGGCATTAAACTGCCTACACTATCTCCCTAACAAGAGGGAAAAAAGTCAGTAGCGTACATGCTTTTTTAGAAAAATATTCCAATGATAATCCATGTGCACGTTTCTGGTAAATATGTCGACACTTTTTTTTAAAATATGTAGCGTTATAATAATACTTGTTACGCAAAAGTACTTGGACGAAAATTATAATAAATCAAAAACTATAACACCTTGTAGCTACCAAACAAAGCAGAATAGAAACAGAAAATAAATATTATTTTTACGTGAGGCACATATTTTTTGAAACACACAGTAAATTATATTATAACTTGAATAAATAATTTAACTGAACCAAAATTAATACATTTCTTTACAACAACAAAAACTATGGAATGTTCCATATTCAATATCAAGAGCGTTCACAAAAAAAAGATGAATCAGTCGAAGAACCAGAGAAACGTATTAATGGGTCAGTCTATATGTTTGTTTGTTCTAAGTTTGTTTTGGTGTTGTTTGTAATGTGTTAAAATGTAGAATTTTATCCTTTTGATCAAGTTTATAACGTAAATGTTTTTAATTTCTTTTGATTTGTATTGAATTAGTGATGCATTTACTTTGTAGGATGTTATCTTTTGATAAAGATCGAAACGTTAACAGTTAATCAATGCTTTTCAATTAAAAATATTTTTGTTACCGACATTAGCGTAACTAGCAATTTATCCTGGGGAGGGCCTGGGGGGTGCCCGGGGTTGAGCCCAGAGGGGCCTAGGGTTTTTTTTTTTTTTTTTAAATTGAAAAATAATTGTAAAAACACATTTTTTGAATAAAACGTTTACATGAATTTCTCTATCAATAAATTTCGTAGACTCGGTTGTCCAGTAGATTACTTAAATACCTACAAATTTTCTAAAAAAATAAAAATTACTACATTGTTTGAACACAACAAAATAATATTAACTAAATAAAACTGGAAACGTCATTTTTACTGCATCACAAGCAAATAAAAATTAATACGTAGCCAAGAGTCATAGTTCAGGATTTCTCTGGGGGTACCCAGCAGTACCTGGGGGGGGGGGGGCTCCCCCAGGCTCTCCTGTAGTTACGCCAATGGTTACGGATCATAATTCCAAGAATCAAACCTTAAAAAAATATTTTATAATAACTTTATTTTACATACGATATACATATTTTATGTATAATGTTCTAAACCTAGTTTTAGTCATTTTAAAATATTTTGTGCAATAGAAATTTCAATTATTTCCTGCATTAATTCTGTTTCTTTTTTTATCTATTTTTTGATAATATATTTTTTTAATTTCAGAATTTTGGGTAATAAAACGCATATTAATTATATATTATAATAAACATTATATTAAAAAAAATTAAAGACGTTGAGTAGATAGTTATTTATTTGTATTCACTGAAATAATAAATTTATGAATTTTTATTATTTGAATTAATCATAAATTTTTCTGCGAAAAAATGACGATAAAACAGTTTCTGTTGAACTTTTGCAACAAAAACATTTCAAATTTATAATTTCAGTCTAACTACACTACTCAAAACAATTATTGTCGCATATTTTCTAAAAAAAATATTAATTTGAAAAACAAGACACTTTGAATTCCCCGACTTACGATTTTAAATGGTATGGATATTTTGAAGGGAAATTCGATACAATAAGTCTGCTGACCTGTAATTTTTAGTCGGCCGACTGTTTAGTTGAAAAAGTGAAAACACTCGTGAAAACAATACATACTTATGAAGTCGATCGACCGACTATTTGATTACATGTGAGGGCGCGGCTCCATAAGGATGTATTAGTTAAATATGCAACTAAATAGTCGGCCGATTAAAAATTGCCTGTCAGCGCATAGCCTAAGGCCATAAGCCAGTGTAATCAAATACTGGGCTGATCGGCTCCATAAAAATGTATCGTTTTCACTTTTGCAACTAAATGGTCGACGGACTAAAAATTACAAAAAAACTCACAAGAGAAAGGCGGAAAAATGCATGCTTCGTTTAGAAATATGTAATAATTATTTTTATTCAAATATGTGATAATTGTTTTGAGTAGTGTCTTTTAACAACATGTTTAATTTATGCCCATAATGGTATTGATAATTTCGATTCCAAATACATATCTCGAGAACCATTACTCGTAGCGATATTTACCAAGAGACATTTTTTACGGAAAAAACGTCATAGATGTATATTTTTTACTCAGTAGTTTTAGACAGGTGCGGACGAGAAGTTCTTACTTTTCAAACCAGTTAAATAATTTGTAGGTGGCGCGGTCTATTGACGGAGGCGGAGTCATATTGATATCAAAATCAAATTTCTCATGTCAAAAAACTCCCAGACACCAATTTTCATCCAAATATTGACGTTACTTCATAAATTATTTGGAAAAAATCGAAATAAAAATGAAACTCTGACACCATGTATCTCCGAAACTAAGCATTTTAGGACATACATTTATACGAACTTTTTTAATTATTTTTCTCTGTAGAATGTGCTGCCGAAGTTTGCGGGACACAGTTCGGACCACCCTGTAGATTTTACAAATTTTGTCAAAACTTAAACTGAATTATAACGCTCCATATTTCGTATCCTAATCAAACGTTTTTCTTTCTATAAATCTTTTGACTTTTACTGTATGTATAACACTGTATACTGTTCACTGTATCCAATCATTATGTATTCCGTTCTGGTACAAAGTACAAAACAAATTACATCATTGAGATATTTGGTTGTACGATAATGGCGTGCCAAAAACAGCTCCGCGTCTTACAGCCGTCGATTAAATATGGTTTATTTTATTATTTATAGTTCTTTTCGTTCTAATTATTAGCGTGAATTAATATGCGTCATATAGAACATTAAATAATATTTACAAAAAAGGTGTGCTACATTTTTACAAGTTAAATAGATTATGCCCTTTCTAAAATGAAAAATAATAGACGGACGGTTCATTGTTCACTCGATTGGGGGAGAATATGAGTATTGGTTAAGAATTTAGGAAAAATATATTAAATTTAATACCTTTGAATAAGCAGCAAAAAACTATAAAAAATCTTAAATGGGTATTTCGCCATTGCAAGAAAATCTACAAAATAAAATAGTTATGTTTTGTAAACACTGCTGTGTTAATCCAACGGAGTCTGAAGTCAAACGGAAAAAATGCTTAACGTTTCGGAAAGTTTATCTCTTTCCGTCGTCGGAAGCAAAAAATACAAAGAATAAACAAAAAAACTATTTAAAATATTTAAATGCAACTATTCGAAAACACTTTAGTTTTTTTAAAACAGATACGTCTACAAAAACCGTTAACAAATTTGTTGTTTTATAACGTCAACAGTTTTTGTAGACGCAGCAGTGTTTATAAAAATAACTATTTTATTTTGTAGATTTTCTTGCAGTGGTGAAATACCCATATAGGATTTTTGGAGAGATGAATCCGCCACATAGGTATAGACATTTTATTAAAAAAAACTATATTATAACTATATAAGAAAAATTACGAAAATATAACTTAACGATGAAGAAATACGATCACACTGGCTTTGGAAATGACAATTGATGATAATTTCTATCTAGCCGACCTCCTGATTTAATAAAGTTTGACAAAAAAAGTTGCAAAAATTAATATTAACATGGAAAATTTTTTAAAAATTCGAGATGCGCTGATCATTCGTATGCAAATTTATTTAAAAATTATTTTTTAAAAATAGATTCTATCGGGAAACTTTTTACTTTTTGTAAATGATATATTTAATTTTTCACAACTTTTTATGGGAAGTCTTAACACATTACATATTATGATACTCCGCCTGACAAAAATTATCATCAACTGTCATTTCACGGGCTACTATAGCATCGTTTTTAATCAATCATACCAACTTAATAGAAATATATTAATACTTTGTTTATTTATATACAGTTTTTTTTTTATTTTCAGTTATCCGAAAAAGAGACAAAGAAAATTTGAATTTGCCTCTTAAAAATGGATATGAACTACGTACGTATTGAAGAATTTTTAATTAGTTATTTATCCACCTATAGTAGTCAAAACCATTTATTAAGATGACAAAATAATATTTTCTTTATTAATATTACACTGATATTTATCAACATTAAAAAAAAAAGGAAAAACAATATCCAGAGAGTTATTATAAAAATATTTTTATAATAAGACACTTATTGACATACCAAAATGTTTTAACATAACCAACATGAGATACAGGCCAGAGACATCGATTTGTGACGTCACCGCACTAGTCGGGCTTTTGTATTGTGCCATATGGTACGGCATATAGTTTTTGCATAAATAATAGTATTTATTGATAGTTTTGCCAGATATAAATATGAAAAATATTATACAGAAAGGTATTAAAAAATAACATTAACTTTTTATCGCGTTAAAGTAATTGAATAGTATTAAAATTTAGATCTAAAGCACGAATATTAATATGAAATAAACTACAGCATAAGATGAACAAAATAAAATCTAGATAATAAAAAGCGTGTCCTAAAATTGCGTTAGCGAGTATTTAGCAACTAGTAATAATATACCTTGTGATAAAATGTTTCCAAATATTAAAATATTTGAAAACTATACGTTTATCGACAAGTTAAGAAAATGTATTGTATATGATAACGGCAGAATACATTTTAAAGTTTAATTAAAAATAATTGTAAAAATTTGCCTAACATATTTAAAAATGTGGATATCAGGTAGAATTAACTATTATCATTAAGTAATTTGTAGTTCCATGTTCATCAAGTAACCGTCTCCATAAATCGTAAATAAAAAGATAAAGATATCATTTTTTTATATAAAATACTGAAACAAAGTACAATTCATTTAATTTCTTTAAAATATATTGCCATTTCATAATAATAATATATATTTAATAATAATTTTCAATATTTATTTTATCCTGAATTTCCAAATCTTGTTTTCTTTCATCGGGATGTTTTCTCTTTATGGGAACATGCACAGTCATATAAGAGGGTTGATTTGGAAAAATTGTAGGCACAGCATCTTCTGTAGGTTTTTAACGTGACCTAGATACAGTTAATATTCTGCCATCTGCTTAGCCCTTTTAGCCGAATTTTCCCTTATCACATGGCATTCTGCAAAATGCTTCTCACAAACAGCAGAAGCATTTGTTACAGTGAAAGCTTTTTCGTGATGGACAGCAGATATCCATTTCTTACGATTTCCTGGGTCCTTTGGGAAAGAGAACGTAGAAACAAATCCTGAGGACTTATTATAATTGCTGCTAGAACAAGGCACAGAACAATGTCGCGGCATTTTTTATTTCACAAAGTAAAAAAAAAGAAACGAAAACTGTTTTACCTAAAAATACACGTCACTTACGTTGGTTTAACACTATACACTAACACTAACGCTATTAATTAGGTTTTTATATAAATTGCCCAACTTTTTCCCAGTCCGGACACACAGCCGGCATCGAATTTTTACCGAAAGTATGTTTTTTTTCGCGGGTACGTTGTTATGAATCGGATCTAGATAGTTCACTATTCACTCAGAGTACACTCAAAATTATTTAATATAATTTTATTAGCATAGAAACGCGTAAAAAACACAGATTTGTTGCGAAACTAATGAAAACAATAGGTTTGTTTACGACTACTCATTCTCGACCACTTCGGTAGAACTGTCAAAAGAGTCAGGCCTTGAATTTGACTTTAGCCACGGTTTTAATATAATTGTTGTTTCAACGGTTGTCTTTATTTTTTATTATAAAATTCTGTGTAAAATTTGATGAATTTTGATATTAAAGGCTCTTCATTAAAAATTAACTGTTTCTGAGTAAAAAATTTCAACATTTTAATAAAAAAAAAACTGAGAAACAATAAAAATGATGTTAATAATGTCGATACCTTTGTGAGGGGTTCGTTTTTTGAAAAAGGGTAACTTTTTTTCACTAAGAGAACAGCACTGCTTTTAATCCAAGCAGAAATCAGCTTGTCATTATAGTTTCTTACTAGTAAAACAAATCTGTCTTACCGACAAAAGATGCTTAACCTTTCGGGAGGCAAAAGGAAGCAAAAAAATCAAAAAGAAAAAATATGTCTATTTAATCTAAATACAACTATTCAGGAACGCATTATTTTTTAAACAGTCTTCTGTTAAAATGATTTTAACCTCTGTTAATGCATCTGCCATACGTTTGTTTATATTAGATTTAAAAAGCTTAATCTATTATTTCGTTACAATTTTTGAATTATTAAAATCTACTTTGTGCCCTGTGTTCCATGAATGCTGTCAAATCCTAGATTTGCCGTTTTTTATTAAATAATATTTATGTTCTTAATTTCGAACATTTAACGGTCTAGATATTTCACCAATATATTCACCATTATCTCACCATTCACATGGTATTTTCTATGTCACATTGTCGTTTGCTCTTCAGTGTTTATTGGCTTGTTGAAAAAAAAAACATGCCTGACCAACAATGTTAGTGATAAGTACAAAATCTGTGATATAATTTGGAAAAATATGAATCTGTCTAATTAAAAATAAAATATTTGCAATATCTTAGCAAGTAGGGGTTATAGCAGTCTCCGAATCAAAAAGTTCTCACACCTACTACTCAGTCCTAAATGAAAATTTTCTTCTAACCGATATCTTTGTATACTAAATTAGACCGTTTTAAAGTTATCTTTGTTTTAAAACAATTCTTTTCTAGATTTTATCCAATGATGGTGTTAAAACATATTTTGTCGAACCTCCATTGTTTCAAGTAAACACCAAAACTAAATTGCCGCAGCTAGCATCACTAATTTTGAGATTTTTCCCTTTATAGTGTTAGTGTAATGTCCCTTAAGTCTAATTTCCATTATCGTTTACTATCCACTATACAGGGTGAGTCTTACATAAGTGCACATACTTTAGGGCTGACAGATTTCAATAAAAGAACCATATTTTCGCTTTAAGTTTTACAAATAAGTTCAAAATAGCTGAGTTGTTTTACTTCGAAAATTAAAAAAAAACACTGGATTTTTTTTTCATGTTAATTTAATCTACTACCAATGTTGCCATATTATTAAGATACTATGGTTTTTAACCGAAAATACAAAATTTTGATGATTTATGTTTCGCGAAAAACATCCTCCTTGTCCTCCTAATATACCACTCCTAAAAATATGTGCACTTATTTAAAACTTGATAACAGGTTCCGGACTCACATGGACAGTACATTATTTGATAATGAAATTTCTTATTACCAAAACTTTTTGGTGTGCTCTTTATTATATAGGATGGATTTAAAATCAGGATATAGTAAAAAATTGGTTAAGTGCGAGTCGGACATGCGCACGAAGGGTTCCGTACCATTCATTATCTATACCGTGAAGTGGGGTGACTTTGCCCAATTTTGAATTTTAAATCGTGTTTATTTCAAAAATTGTTGTATTTTCTCAAATGCGCATGGTCTATGCTATAAGTGGTAATAAGGACAACACAACAATAATACGCTTTTTTGTTTATTAAACAAATATATATATATATAAAAAGAGTAAAAAACTGGATGGGCAAAGTTAGTTGCTTATATGGGGTGTCTTTGCCCTCTTCCTTATTCTTATTGATAGACCAAAGTCACCCCACATAAAAGCATAATTACGTAAAATATGCGTCATCACCCTCAATATTATAACGAACTTCTGCATAATACTTACCTCAATATAGCGTGGTTAACTATTGCAGCCACGTAGAAGTTTAAAAACATTTGTTTAATTATGTTTTTAGTATTTGTTCTTATAGCGGCAACATAGATATATCTGTAAAAATTTCAACTGTCCAGCTATAACTGTTCATAAGATAGAACTTTGTGACAGACGGACGGACGGACGGACAGCGAAGTCTTAAGGATGATTCACAGTACACCGGACCGTGCCCGAGCCGGGCACGTTCCGTGAAGTAGACACCGAGCCACGTCCGATTCTTCTGTACATGCAACACCGAGTTGATAACGGAGTTCGTATTAGTTCCGAGTATATTAGAAAACACAGCCCCATAGACACACGAAGGTTTAATACGAACAATGCCAAAGTTCTCGCAATTGGAAATGGTACCAATTGCAGTTGGTGAATAAAGAAACACCTGCAGGGGAAACACCTGCTCAAAGGAAAATATGAAGGACCTATCTTCTTCATTACATCCTTTCATTGTCTAGTATTACGACTGTCGTCAAATACTGCTGTAAGATTCACTAATACTTACTACAGACATGATAAAAAGTGTACTTTGTTTATATCATAACTGCAGATTGCAGTCGGGGTACCAGGAAAAGTACATTCATGCTTTCCGCAACGTGGCGGGAACGGAGCGGATCCGAGAAAAAAATGTACGCCGACATTTCTGGGACGGGGCACGGACGAGTTCCGGCGAAGCTCGGATCGTGCTCGGCCTGGCATGAATGTATATGTGTAAAGAACACTTGACAATGTTTGGCCGTGTCTTCACCGACGCACGGCTCGGACCCGTTACGGTGTAGCGTGAAGCATCCTTTAGTAATAGGGTTCCCGTTTTTACCCTTTGGGTACGGAACCCTAAAAATAAGTTTCTTTTCCTACTTTAATGTATACATAAATATTTCCGTTTTTCGACATTTAAATCAAGATTGCCGGTGACTAGTGTTAAATTCAAATTAGATCGACTGATCTCCTTTAAAATGTCAAACCTAACAATGGTTCTTTAAAACGGTAACTGCCACGAACACTCCAACACAATTACGTGCGGTACTACGAGCATTTTCAGACGTTCAAAGCAGAGTACTTTACCGGTAGGATGATTCTTAACTTTTTCATCTTAAAACCACTTGTTCTTTTACAAGTCACCATCTATAAATAGCACACGCACGTTTATGTATACCTACTTATACACATATAATATAAGTATATGGAGGAAGTTTATATATTTATACAATGTTAGTATATGTGTATTTACATATTATGTAGATTTGTACTATGTAGATTTTGTGTAATTGT